TCATTACTACCTTGCAGGTTTCTCACAGAGTCAGTTGACTTTCGCTAGATAGCGACATGTGATAAGATATCACCGACTGAGCAGCTTCAAACACAGGGCATAAAAACGACAAATCAAACGAGTACATCTGTTCCTTTCGTAACTATGCCCGTATTTTGTACAACCGGGGACCAAAGGCTACAAGCGCAACAGCAGCGGCTGTTCGGCCGACGACCCACCCGAGCGGCTAGCGGTCAGCGGCCAGCGGCCAGTTGATCACTGCCAGACGGTGTTCCCGCCAGCTATCGTTCCGACCCCGTTTGTTCGTCGTCAGAGGCGAACAATCAGCTCGAGGCTTTAGGAGTGCACGGCCAGTCGTCGCTGTCGTCGAATGGCACTCGTGGCAGAATGACCCTGTGTTTCTGGGCTCGTCGCCAGCCAACGGCTTGGATTGACACGCGGAGCCACGACCATGGCGATGACCAGGTGCCGTAGCTTTGTGTGTTGGATTGGCTGTGAACATCAACGACTAGCGGCAGCGGGCGACGTTGCTGGCTAAAGTTGTGTGGTGGCTTATCGTGGGTCGGTCGGTTGGTCAGTTGGTCGCTTCTTTCTGCAGAGGAGCTTCGTTCCGTCGCGCGTTCAACCATTTCCTCGCCCTCGCTTATCACCACCTCAATTTTTCGATTGGATTTCGCACTCGTTTTATTGACACCTCCGCGTTGTGGTTTTACGGCCCTCTTGACGGTAAGTGCGTTCATGTATTTATTTTGGTTGGTGAACAGTGACCACTGGCCGGTGATCCAGTCCATCGCTGCCTGCTGTCATTCGATGTATAGTAGATCTGGCGCGCTCTTCGCAATTTTCGTCCTCTTCACGGCCAGTTTTTATCAACTGACTGTTGAAGGGTACCGTACAGCTGTTGAACTTCGCAGTCGATTGTTAGTGTACTGTAAAATGCAGTGAGTTTCGCAACGTAGTCGCGTATTTCGAACCCTAAACGTGAGGTTCTGTTTAATGACGGAATAAAATTGCCTCTACCCGTTGGGACGTTGATTGATCTGAAGTTTTCATCTGTGGCATCCATTTTATCATGAAGCTGGATGGTTCATCACTGATCTCCCTTCTGTATCATCAACCAGTCAAAGTTTATTCATTTAGCCAACTAAAGTTATTATCAGCGCATACAGAATTCACTCTTTGCACAAGTTCTTTTTCGGTTGCATTTACCAGGCTTTGCTAACCTTCCGTTGACGGGGACACCCACAGTTTTGTTTCGCGCGGGAGAAGTGTCGCGAGGTGATTAGTAGTCATCAAACACTTGTTGGGTAGTCGTTTTAACGAAACAGCGGCGAAGTCAGGGCACAGTCACAACCGAACTCACAAGCCAACTTTTCGTCCATGTCACCCAGCAGCCAGGATCCTTGTTCTTTCTCTCTAAGGCTATATCTACAGATCGGTGATCATTGTAGTTTATAGTTT